TTTTTAAAGAAAAAATTAATAGCTTACACACATTTTGTTTTCAAGACAATCATTTATATGTATACGTTGTCAGGGATGTCTTTTGAAAACGTTATTTAAATAGACCGGATTTTGCTTTTCATGGCGAAATTACTGAGTTTTTAATCAATAATTGCAAAGTTGTGTTTTGTTCCTGTATCTAGGATAAAGGGGAAACCCACTGTGGAATATTGCTGGTTCTTGGAATAGAAGGAAAGGATAACATCGGAAATGGCTTCTAAAAGTCTGGCAAGATCTGACTCATAATTTTCATCTGTATGACTTTGAACAAAAGTGATACCAATGGAGACCAGAGGTGCCATCTAACCCCCCCAGGAAAGGATGGCGATTATACAAGGATAGTCATGAGACATGCACTGATGGTACGTACATAATGCTTAAACTTCTTTAATCTATTTAAAACTTTCTTTTGGTTCAGTATTTTCCTCAGCATCATAAATAAATGCTTATCTTTCTTTATAAGAACTCAAGCCCATGTGGGATACAGTGGCTCATAAACCAGTTCTGTCTGCACAGAGGAGATTGTAAATCACAGAAAAGTGGATGCATGATGACTTAATTTGCTTGATATAGTTTGGATATTCGTCCCTTCCAATCTCATGTTGTAATTTGATCCCCAATATTGGATACAGCTCCTAAAAAGAAGATTTTGGGTCACGAAGGTGAATCACTTATGAAAGGTTTGGTGTCATCCTTGTGATAATGAGTGAATTCTTGCTCTATTAATTCCTGTGAGATCTGATTGTTAAAAAGGACCTGGTGGCCAAGTGCAGTGGCTACTGCTTGTAATCCCAGCACTTTGGGAGGCCAAGGCAAGTGGATTACTTAAGACCAGGAGTTTGAGACCAGCCTAGGTAACATGACAAAACTTCGCCTCTACAAAAAAAAAATGCAAAAAAATTAGCTGGGCATGCACATCTGTCGTCCCAGCTACCTTGAGAGGTTGAGATGTGAGGATCACCTGAGTCTGGGAGATTGAGGCTGCAGTGAGCCATGATTG